CTTAAATGCCCCTGGTGTTTGGGACACATAGAACCACAATGAAATTTAACTGTAATAGACCTCATAGCTTGCTGTGGGCAACTGACTTCTAGTAATTCACTATTGGGTGTATTAACTGATAACAAAACTGTTATTATCTTGCAGTATGGTGTGATTTTTACAGAAGACCACAATTGAAGCAATTACAGACTGTATTTGTAGCAGCCTTCTAAAGTAAGGTACTAGTTAGACTGCCTTGTTTTGTGTGCTTGTGAAAAGTCCTTGTCAGGGAAACAGAGCAATTACTAATTGAAAGAATTTTACCTCTTCCAAGTTCTTCCCCCACTTATTGATCTCTTCTCAGTGTTCACTGCTAATTAACATCTAAATAAATATGCAGGGGGGAGAAAGAAGATTGTGCCCTGGGAAAGAGGATAATTATGTTTTGTGTAAAGACTTAGAAGGTGTTCTAAGTAACAGTTATTGATTGCATATAGTTCCCCTTGTATGCAACTAATACATTCTTCCAAGTGAAAACAAAACATAACAGCTCTTTAAAAGTTGTTTCAGTGTACGAAAGGAATTATATGATGGCATTGCCTTTTGTAGAAGGGAACTGGACTTCAGCTGTGAGATCCTTTCCTGTTGCGTATCCTTGAGGAATGACTGAAAGGACACCTGGATGGCCAGATGAAGTACAAAATGCCTCTTGCCTTCCGCGTAACTAAGCAGTGGTCCTCTGGCTGCAGAGTGGTATGTTTTTAAGGGGAACCTGTAATAATTGGACAGTCCTGATTTAGAAGCTGATAGCTGTTCTCAGAGGCATCGTCTCTGTGTGGACTGGTGTTATCCACATGCAGCGTCTAATAAAACCAGGTTCTAGTCTCTTCTGATAACATACCTGCTTCTTGCTGAGCGTAAAGCTGTGACACTTCTCTATGCGAGTGACATCCAGTGAAGAGTTAAAATAGACTATGTCCTTGAGTTGAACTGGAGGGAACTGCATGGGTCCCATGAAAGCTGCTGTGGATATGATATTTACAGTTACATTATTCTGATAAAGAATGTTGTGGCAATGTGTCTGGAACAAGCTTATCTCGGTTTGTACAGATGTGTGCTGATACTAGAAAGGTTTCAGTGAGATGTCAAAATACGTGTGTGATGTTTGTTGGGGAGAGGAGGAAATGTAGGTGTGCTGGTATCTCATTAAGGTCATCTTTAACTCTTACAAAATAAAAACCTCTAAGGAAGAAGTTGGTATATTGAAAATGGATTATGGGGTCACTCCTCATTGTAAAATTTCTAGGCCTAACTGTAATACAGTAATTAATTGTACAGGCCTTGAAAGTAGCAGAAATCTGCGTAGGGAAGCGTGATGCTCTGGCTAGTTGCCATCCCGAAATAGTGCTCTGAGCTCTGGGGAGGTGTTACCTCTGAAAAGGGAGCCAAAACTACTACTAAGTTGGCAGACTTTCCCGGAAGAGGGATGGCACATACACCAAGCTTCCAGACTAAGCTCCTTTTGCTTTCTGTTAACAGTACATTCATGGTTGGTTAACTTTGATGTCACAGTGTATAATGTCAGCGATGGCTCAAGTGAAGTTGCATGTACTCGTGCAACTCTCAGTCCTGCAGTTCTTGGTCTTGGCTCTCCAAGAGGAAAACCTCAACTTCCCAGATTGGGATTATTGAAATTCACATGTCTGGAACACAGGGCTGTGAAGGGGCGGTAGAACTCCAGTTCCTACAGATGGGTGATGCTATCAACATAGATTAATTCCTTACAGTAACGTGTAGCTAACATGTTTGCGTTCACTGAATCCTGTTGTGCCCTATTCATGTCTAGACTTCCTTCTTTCATCTCTAGTAAATGCTGAGACTGTCAGTTTTCTAAGGCTGAATTCTCACCATGGCTTCTGTGTTTAGCTTGTAGCATTTATTTTTCCCCTTTAGCACAGAGTCCTTCTGGAGTATCAGTTTTATTCCGAGATCTGAGTACAGTTTGGGTTCCTGCTAATTCTTACCGGAATTTGAGTGTTTTAGAAGTTTGTTATTTGTTTGTTGTTTGTTTTAAAGAAGTTATCTGTTCCCCAGGAAAGATTCCAGACATTTGGTAATGTGGCATATTTTGGAATCCCTTCTGTAATATGACCCTTGGAATCAGTGATGTTGCTTTATTTTTCAGTTTAACTCCAGAAATTGTGCTTGAACTTTATATCTGTGTTTCTGCAAGCTTTCAGTACATACGTCTGCCAGGTGTAATGACTTCTCCATCAACTCTGTGAGACTTGAGAGAAGGTCTAGACCTATGATATGAGGGAATTTAATAATACTTCTGTTAATAATCTCTTTCTTTAAGCTATGGAGAGTGTGTGCCTCTAGGTCTGGCTGTACACTGGGGGATGTGATATCTCTCTCCTCCTTCAGGGGCCCAACGTCACTGTAAGAATGAGGGTGAAGCTTTAGCCATAAGATATGGCTTGAAATTCATAGAATCCTAGACTGGCCTAGGCTGGAAGGGACCGTAGAGATCATTTAATCCAGCCTCCCTGTCATGGGCAGGGACGCCTCTCTCTCGAACTAGATCAGGCAACACATGGGGACCTAACGGGGTCTTTCCTTCCCACCCATTATTTAACAGACTTTGTTGCCAAGCACAAAATTTGGTTTTCTAACTCGCTTTGAAGTGAGAACTGATTTTGATGCACATGTTGCAAAACAGTGACAGTTTCTTTTATATTGAAATAGCATAGTTATACTTCTTTACTTAGAGAGTATGATGAAAATTGGCATATCTTAGCAAGCAGAAACAGTCTGTCAAACAGAGATGTATATTTAGCGCTAAAGATTCTGGGTAAGAGACTGAATTCAAATTCAATTTATGCTATAGCCTGCACAGAGTTCCCAGTTTGTCCAGTTTTTGAACAAGAAAGTCCTCTTCTTCCAATGGTGCTGTTGACAAGTTTGGATAGTAGGACTTGCTACGTACAGCAACATTGTAAACTCACTGCTCAGAAACACCAAACTGGAGTAGTTCTGTAGCCAACTGGTACTGAGAAGGAAGACAGGGTCACCTAGGTTCCTGCAGGACAGATTTCATAGCCACGAGTGGTTTTCCAATTTGGAGCTTGATATTGAATATTTTTTTAAACCCAGTGTAATTTACTAGATGTTACTGTCTTTGGAATGTGTCGTAGATATCTCAAATGAGATGCATATTAGTGCTCTTGGTGTTTTCACCTTTCTTATGTCTATAGCACCCCTTTTTTTTTTTTTTCTTTTTTCCCCCCTGTGGAAAATACTACAGTTCATGCTGTCGTCCTGAAGTACTTGCACATATAAATTGGTCTGTCTGCTGTGTGGTTGTTTGCAGGCTGAGTAGACGGAGGTGGTGTGGGACAGCTGTTTGAGAGTTCCTCTAAAATTTACTTGATTGACCTGACTCTTCTTGGGACTTGTGCAGCACTTGGTGTGGAATTCTATCTTGCCAACACATACAAGAATTATTGCCCAAAATTCTTTTGTTTACTGTCTTGGATTAAGCTTGGTTTAACAGAACAGCGTGTGTGTGTATAGGACTTAGCGTAGATGCTTTGCATACTGCCTGGGATAGAAGGACTGGGGAGTTTTCGTATCCCGAGCCAAGCGTGAAGGAAAGGCAAGGTGCGGAGTAGTGCCTGGCACGCAGTAAACCCTTCTTAACTGCCTGTTGGAGTTGTTCCCCTCCAAGGTCTAGATAAGAGTGTTTGCTTTAAACCTCCGCTGTGAGAAGTGGTGGCTCTTGGCTGTGTGCTGTGAATGAGATTTGTTGTCAGTCACCTTCTCGTGCCTGCAGTTCACTAGTATGGATGACTTCTGGTTGAGGGGAAAAAGTTCTTCACTGCTGGAAAAGTTACAGGCTTGTAAGCTTTCCTACATTTTGATTTCTTTACAATACTGACTTCGTTTCTCACGTGGATGACACGTGACTGATTGAAAAGCTCTCTAGGCTAAAGCAATGTTCTTTTATAAAAGTATCATGTTTTTCTAATGACTGGCTATCTGCCGTATATGAGCAGGAAAGGAGGTGGTGAATTCCTAGTAGAAATTTTCCACGTGCTTAATTGATCACATTATAGTTAGTTTAACTTAAAACCTGGGACGTGTAGGTGTTTTGCATCCTGTGTATTAACTGTCAATATCTGACCTGTACAGACTTGTAATCCTGGTTAACTGATGTGCTAGTTGGTAAGTCAGCTATTACTCAGTGCAGGTTTATGCAGCTGAAGCCAGTTCTAGTTCCTCTTACATCTAGGAAAGTGTAGGAAAACTTTGGAATATCCAGTCTGATTTTGACTTGTCGCTTAAAAAAGAGAAACTGCTAAGCCTTGCTGTAATGCTGTTATGCTGACAAAGCCACAGGGCTGTTAACTAACTTCCTGAACATCTGATTTGTGGCTTGTACACTCCTGACATGTAGCAGTTCAGACCCCAGTTAAGGCTACTTTACAGCATTCTTTTAAGTAATTCTTAGCTGTCAGATGCAGGCTGCACCATCTCCTTTGTTCCTGTGGCAAGTCTCAACAGTGTGAGGTGATAGTTTCAAATTGCTGGTTTTGTTAAACCTCGTCAGATTTTTTTCTTCTGGAGTCAGATTTTATTTTCAGTTCATATATTGGCTATTTGGCGAGTGAGTGCTGGTCCATGCAGTGACTCTGTACGACACAAGAAGCCAGTGGAGCTTTTCAACAGCCTCGAGTCCCTATGATAAAATTGAGGGAGTATCAGTGCTACACAGAGCTTCTTTCTACTTGGAGGCCTTACTGCCAGGGGTTCAGAGCAAATGGTGGAGTTTTGCAAGTCTCTGACACTAATTCAATGACCGTGGGGAAGTACACAAACTTGAACTGTGAATGAAAGGACATTTGGTGAGGGGGGAAAAGGGGATTTTTCTTTGCTTATGTGAATGAAATCGGATGAATTGGGATGAGTTTGGTGAAAAAGTAGCAGTTCTGATGTGTTCTGTTTTTTGTTTTAGTGCCACAATGGCAACTGCACCTTACAACTATTCCTACATCTTTAAGTACATCATTATTGGTAAGTACCAGTGGGCACGTACCCGTTTCTGTTGGTGTGTATGTGCATGACAGCCTGCCTGCAAACCCTGGGCTGGGCTGTGGTTTGCTTCTGTTGCCTGCTGCCTGCTGTACAGGAGTGATTCTTTCAGTGGTTAACTCATCCAGCTTCACTCAGTCCCTCACAGGTCACCACATTTGCTCTAAAGCTTTAGCAACTGACAGTGTAAAGGCAAAAGCCTTCAGATGCCACAGAATTAGAGCTGTGTGCTTGGTGGCAGGTGAGCTGGGAGTGGGGGCAAGTACCAGTGCCTCTGTCGAGTTCACTTGATTGTTGAGTTACTGCTGAAAGTATCTGGGTTTGACATGCACACTTCAGTATTCTTGATCATCTTCACTGTTAGGACCATAATTCTTAGCCCTCTGCATAACACTAAAGAAAAAGCCATTCTAAAAACGTGTGCATGTGGTCCTTTTCTCACAAAATCAAGTTTATGTTTAGAAAAACGGCTAAACCCATTGGAAAACTTCAGTGGGAGTCAGTGTGACTGGGATGTTGTGTTGATTCAGGTTTGCCTCTGCGTCATTAATCTCAAAGGTGTTAGAATCTATGCTGAAGGCACAAGTGCTAATAGTGTCTCAGCCCATTGTTTTACACGGGCTTCTAAACAGCTGTCAGACTGTTTTTGTGTTTAAATGTTGCTTCTAGCTGCAACTTCCTTGGCTGCTTAGAGGCAGGGGTTTGATTGCATTTATTGCTATCATAAGAGAGCTGGCCTTGCTGTTCATTGTTTAATTCTTAATGACCTTGTAGGTGTCAGTGTTCTGCAGTTCCATTGTAATGGGTTGTAAGTCGGGCTGCTGTGACATCCTCAGCCTGTGGAAAAGTTGGTTCTTAAAAGATCTTGCTTTTTTTTCACTACTGGCATTGTGTAAGTGGATCAGTGGAAGTGAAGCAATTTCTTGGTGTGTTTTGGTTGACTGGCGCTATTTTTTGTGTTCTTACAATAATTACAAGACAGAAGCGGGGAAGACGCTCAAGATATATTTTATATTTCAGTTTATTATAGGTCTACTTCTCATAACCTTATGAAATACGCTTATAAAATTGATAACACATTAACCTGGAGTTCTCTGCTTCAGCCTCCCATTTAGGTGTTACCAGAACTGTAGTGCAAAAGTTGATAAACTGGGGACTGTGGTCAGGTATAGAACAGTGCCCACTAGACCTGAGGAAGGAGTGGCTGCCTGTCTCTGTACCATTTGTTGTGTGGGATGAAGAAAATGTGCTCGTTGCAAGAGTGATGTGTTGTCAGCCTTAACTATTCTTTCTGTAACAGGGGACATGGGTGTAGGAAAGTCCTGTTTGCTTCATCAATTTACAGAAAAGAAGTGTGAGTATATCGATTCACAATATTTATTCTAACTGGTATGCCTCATCCCTTTTTCCTGCCTTTTTGCTTCCACCATGCATGATCTTGATGTTGTGTCTCTCTTAATCTGTATGGGTATCAGATTTTGGGTTTGACTCCTGCAGGTGTAGAAACAAAACTCTGGTGTAGTGGTGGTATAACTGTTGCTTCGGTCGGGCCTGCCTGTGATGGGCGGGAAGACGCTATTTTTACAGCTTCCTCTGGGGAATTTGGATATGGAGCAAAGCAACATTTTGTGTCTGAAATTTGCATGTTTTCAGTATTGGTGAGCTCAAGCAGTTGGAGTTTTTTAGTGCTGTTAAGGACTTCAGAAAGAAAAAGATTAACTTTTCTTCGCCTTTTTGTTTGCAGACTTAAGTAGCACTGTCATTCTCTCTAGCTGCTGTGACTCATGGCTCTCGGGCTGCACTGCGTGATGGTGTTTCAGTCTCACTGCAGTCTGTCTCGGCTAACATTTTTTCGTGTCTGCTATCATGACTAATCAAGAATTAGCTTCAGTTCTTCTTAATAATGTGTGTTGCATTGGGGTTTGCGGCAGCAGTTAGCTCTGTGACTTTCCATGTCGCTCACACTCCATGGTCTGTAGATATTAGTACAAAGTTGGTCTGTACTGTGTGCTACTCGAGATACGGCAGTAAGTACACAGGAGCTACAGTTTAATATATTTCTGTTTCCTAGTAGACATGGGATTTTTTAAAATGTTTTTTAAGTCCAATATCAGCTAATTGTTTAAATGCTACGTTGTGTACAATCAAATTTTTGATGAGGGTGTGTCTTGTTCTTACTCTGTCATTGTTAAGCTGGAGCAATGCAACCAAACAAACATGCCACACACCTCTGGTGCAAGACTGTCACTAACTGTAGATGGCTTCAATAGCTACTCCTCCTTTCTGGGTTTTCTTGATCTTTCTTAAAGATGAGCTTATTATGATGAGTTTGTTATAGCTGGAAAGATGCCTTTTTGATTTTTATTTGCTCTGTTGTTAGCTGCTTGCGGAGCTGGCTTTTTCCTGTGGGCAGTCATGCTATTACTCTGTTTGAACAGTTTGGATATTCTTGGTTTTGAAGTTGTGCTCCAGACGTCTAACTGTATCTTGGCTGTTAGAACAGTTAAACTGTTTCTGCAAGAATAGACTGAGAATTAGCTGGCTTGATACTTTCCAAACAGTATCAGTGTACGTGTGTCAAAGGAGGCAAGGAATTTTCTAACTGTTTTTAAAACTAACAGCAGTTAAGGAAATACTTCATTTTATTTCTGCTTAGGTGGTACAGTTTGGGTACTGTAGCTGTAAATTCTTTCACAGAGACTGGAAGTCTGGTAAAGTTACCTGAAAACTGGTGATAGTATGTAGCAAGGAGACCTTGTACTAGAAAGATCTGATCTTTGCTCTTATTTTTCGTGGCAGTTATGGCAGACTGTCCCCACACAATTGGTGTTGAATTTGGCACAAGAATAATTGAAGTTAGTGGCCAAAAAATTAAACTACAGATTTGGGACACAGCAGGACAAGAGAGATTCAGGGCTGTCACACGAAGCTACTACAGAGGAGCAGCAGGAGCTCTCATGGTCTACGACATTACCAGGTAAGGGGGTGCTGGCTGGCGCAGCTCTGCGTGTGCCTGACGAGCCCTTTGGGTACCACAGGCTTCTGTGCGCTCTTGTCTGTCCCCTTGACGTAGTTTTAAAGGACTGTGTCTGTCTGGGTTTGTATCCTGTTCCGTCAGGCTTCCTTAGCTAAATGCTCTAAGTATTTAAAGAGCTGAAAACGAGATGTAGGGGAAATATGTGAGCTGCTTTTCTTGGGAAACTCTCGGGCCTGAGGATCTTGCCGTTTCAGGCCTTGACTGCATGTGTTGAAGTTGTTTAAAGAACTGGCTTTGTCCTTAAAATCTGCTCTTCAGTACATGGATTCTTCCCTTCCTGGGAGGCAGTGGATGCTACCGCTTACCTTGCAGGAGTATTTTTAGAGTAGGCCCAGGACAGAGCATTACCTCTTGCAGTGAGCTACGTAAACCTGCTTAATGGACTGCACAGAGATGCAAGTGTTTCCGTAGTCTGACTCCTGGGCCTCTTCACAGTCTAGTCCTCCAACACAATGAGACTGCAGAGAAGCTCTCCTGTATTCCTTTTATAGGTGACAATGAAAGATGCCACCAAAAGGATAACAAGATGTGCAACACAACGCATTTGCTTTCCTGTGTCTCCCTTCTTCCTCTGGGGCTGTTCTTGATATTCTTCAAGCACTTTTTTTTTTTCCTACATATATGGGTGTATTTCCTGTTTGCTTAGATCTTGGGTAAATCTTGTGTGCTGTTTGTTACTAAAGTGCTGTTCTACTGTAAGAGTAAGTTCTGTAGGAGTATTTGACAGGAAATCCGTTACTGTGTCCTGTACAAATTAATATGGATGTTGTCCTCGTGAAGACAGTTTTACTGTCACATACTCCAAGTGTGACTTGGTCTGTCTTTCTGCCTGTGTTGTAAGAGTTGCTCTGGGGGTTTAGAGTCGACTTGTTGAAATCTTGCTCTGAGTCCAAACAAGCTGCTGCTGCTTTGTTGGGGAGAAGAACAGGGATGACAGACGTCGGTGTGTGGTGTGGATGCTGACTATGCTGTTGGCATGTGGCTACAGTAGTTTTTAAAATACCTAAAACTGTACTTGCTTTGATTCTTTGCAGAAGAAGTACGTATAATCACTTAAGCAGCTGGCTGACAGATGCAAGGAACCTCACCAATCCAAATACTGTAAGTTGGACTTTATTTAGCTTGAAAGCAAGACTGCTTATCTGTGAGTGAGAGGTGGAAGGCTTAGGCCAAAGCATCTGCCGCGTTAGCACTGTTCTCTTGAATAAGCTGCCTGTGTTCTCTCTGCTGCTTAGCTCCCAGTTACGCTTGTGTCCCCATTTTGCAGCGTACCAGAGATTCTCTTCCCTTGCTGCAGCTGGAGCAGAAGTGGGGGCTCTGTGCAGGAAAGCAGTGGCTTCTTCTAAGTCTTGTTGTGCTTCTCACCTTTCAGGGGCCTGTTTTCAGCAGTTGGAGACAGACTTGTGGTTGACTCTGGACACACCTTAACTTTTGTTACTGCTTCTTGCTTGTTGTAGTAATGAGGTGAATGCTATTTCATCTTAGATTGGAATAGAAATTGGATCTTCAGCAGAAGCTGACCAGGTCTTCTGGAGGAATGGGGGAAGAAGGTTCTTCTCTGTCTCTTTGACCATACCACACCACTGTCCTTCAGGCTTTTTCTGAATACACCTAAAATACTTGAGCACCGAGCTCATGGGAAGACCCTCTACAGTGATGAAAGAAAACTGTTAAAAGATTGTGGCTGGATTAGCAGATGATTAAACAAATACGGGACGCAGCTCTTGTTCACAAGAGAGTAGGACTGCTGCTTTTTAGGACCTCATCTTGTGAGAACAGCCTGAAGCCTTTGGAAGGGACAGCTGGAGATGCTATTCCTGACTTTACAGAGGGGGCACTGCTAGCTAGAGCAGTGCTCTCCTGAAGATGCATGGCTTTTGCACTTAAACTTTTCTGCGTATTTCCTTTGGGGTTTGGGGTTTTTTTTGTCTTATTAATTATGAGGTTCATAGTGAAAAAGCTAATAAGCTTCTCTCTTCTGAACTAGGTGATAATCCTCATAGGAAACAAAGCAGATCTGGAAGCACAGAGGGATGTTACATATGAAGAAGCCAAACAATTTGCTGAAGAAAATGGTGTGTAGTTTTTGTGTTTTGTTTTTTTTTTTATCTTGAGCAGTTATATTTCCTACAAGATAGTTAAAGTGAATCCTCAGCTCTGAGAGCTGCAAACTTGCACTTCCCAAGTGATGTGATTATAGGTGCAGATTTCTACTGTGCCAGTCTGGCTTAACGTCTGGAATTGGCTTGTGTGTTGATGCATTAACTTAGTTATGAAATACAACTTACTACTAATGCAGTGTCTTGCATGTCATCTGAAGGTTGTGATGTGACTGAGGACTATCTGAAAGATGTTATGGATTGACTGTTAAACCTTTGTTTCTGAACAGGTTTATTGTTCCTTGAAGCAAGTGCAAAAACGTAAGTTACTTCTGTCTAGAGTAATGATTCAGATGTGATCTGTTTAAAAGGACTATATTGATTAGGACTGAGTACAGCTGTAGAGTTCAGGTATAGTAGGGTTTTACAAGTGCAAAAAAACACAAATGTTTTTTGTTTCTTAGAGGGTAAGGTATGTATGGCAGTTTAAACCGTGTCAGCTTTGACTTCAATTTGGAAATTAGACCTCTTGCTACATTACAGACAAAACTTGTAGAATTTAAATGAGCTGAACTGGTTTTAAGACATTATTTGGGCGTAGAATGTGTAGGTTTGGGTGAGTGGCTCCCAGTTAGACATTCCTTCCCTTGGGTGTTTCAAGCTGTAAGCAAGTGCTGTAGGGAGCAGCCGGTCCTGGCTGCCGAGAGACGTGGCCACACTGTGGTTGTGACGGGCTGTGCTGGATGGGGAGCCTGTCAGAACGTGAAGAATCAGCCCCCCCGTGGCACCGGTAAATGTGGTTCCATCTGGCACCTGTTGTAATGGAACTCTGTGTCAAAAAGCTTTTGATTTAGTAGTGGCTGCCCTGTCTTTAAGCTTCTGTCAAAACTGCTCCACGTGTGTGGCTCAGGGCCTTAGCTTAGTTGTGCTACTCGGTGTTCCAGCGTGTCTGTTTTACTCCTGACTAGTCCTACCAGGTTGTAGTGGCTAGGGAGTGAGTTGTCCTGTCACGGGCTGTCCCAAGGACAGGTCATCCAGCCTGGGGATGTGCCCGCTGTAAGTGCAGTAAGCTTTGCTTGTGCCTAAGAGGCTGAGGTAGCAACTGCTTCTTTTTGGTGACCGTCAGAGCCTAGCATGGGTGTCTGGCCAGCTGCCTCCATCCCCTGTGTAGCCTGAGTAACTCCCGCTGCTCTCTTCGCAGTGGAGAGAACGTGGAGGACGCGTTCCTGGAGGCTGCCAAGAAAATCTACCAGAACATCCAAGACGGAAGCCTGGATCTGAATGCTGCAGAATCGGGTGTCCAGCACAAACCCTCAGCTCCGCAGGGGGGGCGACTAACCAGTGAACCCCAGCCCCAGAGAGAAGGCTGTGGCTGCTAGTGACCTCTGTTTGATGGCTCCATTTCTGACCTTTCGCCTCTGTCTGGTGGAAGCGGTGCTTTTGACCGCTTCCCTGTCTTCTGTACATCTTACTGGGTTTAATTAAAACTCTGAGACAAGTTTAACACAGTACTAAACTGCTAAACAACTTTAGATGTAATCAGGTTATCAAAGGCAAGTAGAGTAATAAAACCTCTCCTGCATGGTAAATCTAGAAGTTTTTTTTTTTTTTTCCTTGATTGTCCTTGTGATAGTGTCACCGATACATAATTTAAACTGAGCACTGATGCTGGACTCATGATTTTACACTTTCGCAGGGCTTTGTCTTGTACGGTTTAATTTTATGGTTCTTTGGCCTTTCTTCCCCACCTCTAACTGTTTAGAGCTGTCCATAGTGAAAGGATAAGTTTTTGCTGTGAAATGACTTCCGACGGTAGCGAGGGGCTCTGTAACAATGTGCTTTTGTTGAAAGAATTCCCTGTGGTGTGTGTGTGTTGGGGGTCGGGGTGGGCTGGCGCAGGAGCGTACAACTCGCACAGGGAAACGATCCGTTCATTCTCGTGCTCATAGCTTTACATCGTTTCTTTGCCACTTTTATCCTTTGCATTTGTTAACAGAACGTAAATATGTATAAAATTTGAAGGAACTGAGCTAACAGTTAAATACATCCTGTGTATATGATTTTAATGAAGAAAATGATTACTGGCATTAGAACAGTATATAAGAAAATACCAGTTTGTACAGTCTGACCTATATGTGACCACGTTGCCCCATTAGTACAGAGATCCATGTGGCTGCAGTTCACTAACACAGGCTTAACTCCGTGGTGTCAGCAGTGGCGGCTGTGCTGGGGGGACTCGAATCCTGACGCAGAAGTTAACACTAGTGGAACCTGTCTCTCATCTTTGCACTGTGCTGTATACCTGTGCCCTTTCACTAATCCCGTTCCGTGCAGTCAGCAGTGTGCTAACCCGCTTCTCTCTTCCGTAAGCGTTTCGCATTATTGGGCTTCATCACCCGCCTCGCATCGTATACGGAGGCTGGTGCTCTCGCACATCTTACGCTTTTATACCTTGAACTTTTTCGAATGGCCGAACTGGACAGTCGGAACAACGCGTGTGCTCTCTAGGGATTTTTAACTACTGTTGTATTTGTTTTAACAGTCCCGTGGGGGGGTTTCTTTTAAGACTTGGGCTTTTTCCAGCAAGCTTTCGAGCACACCCTTCATGGGGCGACACAGCCTGTCGTGCTTGTGCAAAGGGGAGGTTCTGAGTGGGGGCTTTGCTGTGGTGGGACATGTGACTCTGCCTGCACTACTCTGCTGTACCTCACGTGAAGCTTCGCTGGGAAAACATCACATGTGGTTTAAAAATGGAAGTGGGTAAGTGATCCAAGGTCTCACTGCAGCACTGAAAATACAAAGTAGTCTTAAAAATCCCTCTCTAGACACTAAAACTATACAATGTAAGTAACCAGTGGTACCAGAGTATTGTACAGTCAATGTTAAATAAAAGCCAAAACTGGAATGTGCAGACAATAGGATTTGGGTAACTTGTGCACTGTCCCTTTGTTTTGTCTGGTTAGTCCTTTTTTTTAACTAATACTCTTAAGTAGATGGGTATGTTCAAGATCTACAGCTAACGCACCTGCTTAAACCCAGGTTGCACCACAAAGGGTTTGCCCAGGGACCACGACCTGCTGCTGACATGAAGTGCGTGTTCTAACGACTACAGCTTGTTGAGGTGCAATACCTGTACTCCCAGAGTAAGTTACAGTAGGTCTTATTGTTTCTGTCACAGAAAGGATGTTTGGACTGCTGTACTCCTCATTTGATGTAACAATGCTATTAATCTAAATATTTGTAAATAAAGTACCTGTATCTAGATAAACTGCAGTGACTCGCGTTACTTGCTCTGGTCTTCTGCTTCGTGTGACTTCCCTGGGGCTGGTTCCTGGGAGCATTTTAACGGGGGCTGCTGCTGTGTGAGGCTCTTCGGGCTCTGCTGGCGGAAGCTGCTGGGCAGGCACTGCCGCTGGCCTGCTGGCAGGCCCCGGCTCCTGCAGAAAAGGGTCTCATTAAACTGTAGGAAGGAATGTGAGCCTGACCCCAGGTTATGGAAGAAGTCAGTGTAGGGATGGTATTTGTGCTCTAACTGCTTGTGTTTAACCTTACAGTGGAAAGGATTGACAAAGCTGGGAGTGTCCCAGTGTGTAAGTGTCCTGCTTGGGGCGACGAGCTGGTCCTGAGGAGAGGGAGTCCTGTATTTCATGGTGCCTTGTTTTGCTGTCCAAAGCCTTTACAAAGGGTTTAAAGAGCAAGTTGTGTATAACTTTGGTATAGAAACGTTCCCCACAGCCACATGCTTCAGGAAAAGCGGGCAACTGACAGTCCTGGTGACAGCGACAAGGACCGGAGTGCTGCTGCCACCCAAGTTTCACTTTGTGCAAACGGGAGCCACGGGGCTCAGAGCGCGTTGCTGTCCTCAGCCCTGGCTGCAAGCGTAGGTGTCCTTGAGAGCAGCTTTAAACAACAACGAAATACGACCAACCAAGCATGGCTAAAAGCAAGCAGCCATCACTGAACTTTATTTTAACAAAAGTATTCAAAAATAAACGTATTGAAAACATCCATGCGTTTGACAACAGGTAAATGGACAAACCTGTCCTTGGTACAAGTTTTCTTTAAAGTGGAAACTGACAAACACTTAAATAGGTGGTTTTGGCACCTTTTAAAATATTTTTTTAAAAAAAACTTATATACATAAAGCTCAGTTATTCGATCGTACAAAAACTTCACAGTAGGGAGCGGGCCCTGCAGCCAGCTCTTTCCGAGTGGTGGCAAATGCCTTTGCAGGAGAGGCTTGCGGAGCACTGAGGTAGAAGTCTTTGACGGTGGTAACTGACGGCGCGGGTGGCTCAGGCACCGCCTGAGGAGTGGTTCTGCCCCGCCAGGAGCGATGGTTCTGTTGGGGATCGGGTCAGGCTGCGGCACAGCCAGGGGGCATCGAAAGCTCTGCAGATCCCCACGGCCCCTCTGGTGCTGGCAGGCAGCTTCCTGGGAGCAGCTGTGCTGGGAAGCTTTCCTGCTAACACCCAGCAGCTCTTGAAGTGACGTGTTTTCAACTGAGAGCCAGAGCCTGGGCGCATCTATTAAACCTAGTGAAGTGTAACTGCAAGATGAAGGATGGCAGTAGCTTAACATTTCAGTCGGTCAAAACAGTGATTTCTCCATGTCGTGTGAGGGTTTACAAGCAGCTCTCACCCACAGTTTGTTTGAAAATACACGTCTAAGTGCCAAAACAGCATCAAGTACCAGGACCCCGACCCCAGGAATGGAACGTTGGGGTCTGAGAAGCCACACTTGCCCCTGGGCTACCACCACCTGCAACCCAAGAGCCTCAGCCTTCAGGCCCCTCCTGACCCAATGTGCTGATGATGTCACATCTCACCTCTGGCCTTTACTGGGAAATTCCTCCTGAGCCAGAACAAAGCGACTGCGACACCGCTGCAACACCTGCCGGCCTGCTGGGAACCTGAGTGAGCCCTGTCAGAGTGGCCTGGAAAAAGCAGGGAAAGTCAGGTGGGGTAATAAATTAATGCCTTCCATTAGTGGAGCCACGTTAATCCTTAAAAAACAACAAAAAAATAGTCATCGTGATTTTAAAGAACAAAAGTAAGACCAAAAGGACAAAAGTGAACCACACAACCAAACTCCTTGAGGAAAACGTACCCTTTTCAAACAAGTTAATTATTCTGGGAGCATGTGCCCAGTGCAATCGCCCTCCCCACCAAACCCACCCGCTGCGCCTCCCGGCGGGTGAGCACACGGCTGCAGGACTGCCGGGGAGCTGAAGTAAACCCCAAAGTCCCGTACGCAGGAGAGCAGTACCTGTGCTCTTGTTAAATTCAGAGCATCATGAACAGACGGCAGACTCGAGCTTTGGGCTAAAAAGAGCGACTGTGAAGAAGCGCTGCTGACGAGGTCATCCAGCGCATCCACCTGGCGCTTCAGGCTGTGCAGGGTTCCTTCCGTTTGCTGTTTGCCTCTGATGAGCACCTCGGCTTGCTTGGATATGCACTGCCGGAGCTGAGCCTAAATAAACCCCGAGCTACGTTTATATCCAGCTGGTGTAATTTTCAAGACTATTAAAAAAGTTGATGACCTTAAAGTCAAGCCATAAGGGCTGTGACATTAAGAGTCTCAAACCACAAGCAGAGGGCAATGGGTTTACAAATTATTCTTAAATAGTTCACCTCCTCCCACTTCAGAAATAAGCTCTATTTTCACGGCCTTGGTCATGAACTGCTTGACAAGAGAACAGATAACTGCTCTGACTAAACCTGGCCATCACCTGGGATCACAGGTGCTCCTGAACTGTGATTGGTCGCACCACAGGATGATGTAAGTGAGGGAATTGCGTTGAAATACTCAAAAATTCAACGAACTGCTAAAAAGTTACTCATCCTGAGCCAGCACCAAGTCCTGGGCTTTCTTTTACTGTTCCCACCCAGAGCTACTCTGTAGGTGGTCACTTGTGTGCAAAGGGGACAGGCCACCGCTGGGGAAGGATCCCACCCCCCTGGGATGTTGAGGTGACCGCTAGGAGGGACCCAGGGGACACGGTGGTGGGACAGGGAGGAGAGATGAGCCACCTTGAGCCGATCTTCGTGATGCTGCAGCTTTTCTCGGAGAGCCTCTCCACGCCACTGTTCATCCTTTGGGAAACAAAAGCACATTGAGGATCTGAGCGTTACAGAGAAAGGTGCCACCACTGACATGCTCAGCTGGAACATGAGGAGCAGCTACTTTTTTGAAAGCTTTTTACCATTAAGAAGACTTTAGAAAAATTCAGCTTTCCTTCCAGTGAAAAGAGGCTTTTGTCAGCAGCAGACAATGGATCAGTCTCCTCCAAGTTACTGGATTCAGCCTGCAGACCTCCCTTTACTTCAGAAGGCATTTCCGAATCTTCCAGCAGTTCCAGAGAACTTCTAGGGCTTGAAGATTTAAATCCCATCCTAATTTCATCTTCAACCTCCAGTTTAAGGAGCCTTGCTGCATTCTCCATTTCCCTTTGTCTCTTTTCCAGGTCTTCTTGAGCTTTAACCTGCAACATAGAACGGTCTCACCACTTTGCCATCAGGTTACAAATGCATCATCCGTCCAGAAGGATTTTCCTGCATAAGTGAACACGGCTAATTTCTGAAATATTTATATTTTGACTACTGCAATTAGAAATCACAAAACCTCGGAACAGATGCAGCCCCGATTCCAACACAAACATTGCCTGTGAAGCCCCTCAGATGGTGAGAGAGGCGGCTGAAGTCACCAGGACCCCACCTGTTCACTTAAACCTCTCAGTACTCTGGTCTTGCAAAGTCTCCCTTGAATACTTTCTAGCTGCTAACAACATTCTTCTCCGATTTTAAAGGGCCTAGAAACAATTTATTAAGGACTAGAAGGAGCCAGACTACATGAGATCACCTTTTAAAGTATCAAAACGAGAAAATGCTGCCCCCAGTTGGCACTAACAAGTTGGGAAGTGCCCACTGAGTAGCTTTGAACATTGATAGTGTTTGGTGATTTGCGCAAGTTATGACTAATTTTGCCGAGTTCCTGTTAAGAAACCTTAACGTAGACAGGAGCCAGAGTCCAATTCTTGACTGAAGCTTTGCCTAACCTGAGCTGGCAGCGGATGTTACGGTGCCTTTGCTCCGTATCTTGGGAGAACCCACAAAACACGACTCCTGTTAAAAGGCAGGAACAGCGCTCACAGGAGTAACTGACTCGCGTTCTGCAGCACAAGCTGGAAATACCAGCGTTCGGTTGCCCCAGGTTCTGCCCGATCACGCAAGTACTGCATTGCTTTGTTCCTCCTCCAATAAAAACGGGTGTTCTGTCATTTGGCTTTTTAAAAATAACACAAATTCTCAAACATTCTTCCCACAGCCCGGACTTACATGTTTTCTTTCAAGCTGCATCCTTTGTATTTTCATAGCTTCTTTCAGTCTCGAGATTTGGTGTTTTGCTTTTCTCCTCTCGGATGCTATCTGATCTTGGAGATGAGTTAGCTCAGACTTGGAGATTTCCAGTTCATTTTGAAGAGACTGTATTTCTCTGTTTTTCTGTTGTAATTGTAATTCTTTTTCTGAGAGCTGATGTTCTGTAATTAACATTTTTTAAAAACAATCCTGATTAGCAGAAACATAAGTATCTTGGCATATTTTATGCACATTAGATATTTCTCGAACGCGTTAATCTGCTGAGCAGCGGTTTGTAAAAACACTGACACAGGGTGAGAGGGGACGGGACACCGGTTGGCTTTAGAACCTCAGTTCTCTGAGCAGGTCCATTTAAGGATCAAGAGCCAATCCATGTGCTGCATTAGAAACCAGTGAGATTAACACAAGTATTTACTGGTTTCCATTGGCTCAGAACCCACAGACGGTAACAATTTATTTGTGCAATGAATCTTACTGGTTTTTCTGACTGTTTCTTCAAGAGCTGCACATCGGGATTCCTCCTTTTCCAGCTTCCTGAGGTTTTCTTCCGCCAGCCGTACTTTCGCTGTTGCCTGCTCCAGTTTCTTTTGTTGATCTGTGAGTTCCTTTTCCAGGAGGAGTTTCTGCTCTTTCACTTTAGCAGTACATTCTTCCAGTTTTTTTCCTTCATGCTCTGAATTTTCCTTGAGACGATGAAGAATCTGCCAAAAAACCCACAACCGCTTCAAGCTTCGAGTGGTACCAACTCAGTGAGAACAAGCCCCATCACCAAAGGACACTGCAGAAGTTAAAGCAGCATAAATTGAACCGCTTGCAGGCGAGTCAGACGGCTCCTTACCGCTTCCCCTTTGGCCAATTCTGTTTCCTTCTCTTCAATCTCTTTCTGGAGCTGCTGCAATTGGTTCTCCCTCTTTTTCTGTCTCTCTTGGCAATCCTTACGTTTCCTTAAAAATTCCTGGATGTCTTCTTTCAGGGTTGCCCGCTCTCTAAGCAACTCATCGTGATGCCTCGCGGTCTTTTTCAAATCCTGCAACATAAAAGAGAAAGCTGGTCAGAGGAACAGCTCCTTGGCTGAAAGGTCCGCGTTTGAATTAACAGAACGTGTCACCCCCAGTCACGCTGCAGATTACCCTGCACTTCAACCAGCCACCGAGTGAATTAGCGCTCAGGTGAAAAGCGAGGAGATACTTCCAAAAAACCCAATGAACCAGCTCGGCAAGGGCCTGATTCTGATCTTGTGTGTCGAGATGAGAAACGCGGGATGGGCCGTTCAACCTGTGCGATAAATCACAGCCCTGGTCTCCGCACAAGTCAGGAAACTTAAGTGCATGTTCCACCAAAACTGACCTGTTCGACCAGTTGAAGCTGCTGCCTAGAGTCATTTAATTCTCCTTTCAGCATTTCTAGTTCTTCCTTTTTTTCTAGAAAAATATTTGGCAACAGAGATTTTCAGTCAGCAATCTGAAACACCTGTACAAATAAATAATCTCTTTTCATAAACAAAGGTTAAACAATGGAAATTTTAGAAACTGATTTTCTATCTTTTCAATGCATTAAATCCTTTCTGCCTGTAGATATTTGAACATGTTGGATAATCGGTATCATGCTGTACAGTTTAAGTGTGTCTTTTAACACAATTTCTCTCAAAAATCTTTACCTTGAAGATCCTTCTGTACAACAATAATGTCTCTGTTCAGTGATTTTTTTTGTTTGTTCAGCTGATCTACCTCCTGCTGCAGGTTTTTAACATCCAACTCCATTTTTTCTACATTGGACAATGCAGTTCTGCTGCTGTCTTCAGTAGCAGTTAAGTCTCTGTAAAATACGAATACATGTACTTGGTTTGGTGGGAGCACTTGGTGAGGACTGAAAACCAGCTGCGCTTCAGCAGAAGCTTTCGGCTCAAGGGGATGTTACCGAGCCATCATGAGAGCTGGACAGCTGTCCTGCTCCAGGAATTAACATTTTGCTTTTCTTAACATTTCTGATTGCATTGCCATGATATAAACAAACGCAGTTTCATTCATCAGCTTTGCTGCTGAGTATTTTCTGTGAGTCTGCTGTAGACGTGCTTAAAATAAAACCTCCACAGGATAAGAAACAGCACATTCTGTATAATTGGGCACCTCAAAGTTACAGCTGTATTTTTAATTATGAAAACCAGACATTAAAGGCACTTCCCATCAGTTCTGATCTTTGCAGAAAAAAACCAAATATTTCCCCCCACCTTCTAGTTTGTGACAACTTCTTTTCCAGACTCTGACAATCTTCTTCAAGCTTTTCCTTTTCTTTACTCAAAGACTCAATATTATTTTGCAGAGTGCGCATTTGAGAAACCAGATGTTCGTTTTCCTGTCGGTCTTTCTTGAGTAGCTGTTCCTGCCAATCTACTTCCCCTTGCTGACACTGAAATAATCTCTGAATATTCTCCAGTTTTAACTTCTCCTGCAAAAGAAGGCACTGTGAGCACCACATGTATACGGTCCAGCAGAACAAGTTACTGACATCTTTAGCTGCAGCAGTGAAGCCTTTTAAAGGCAAATGCTCTCTGGGCTGTCCCAGACTGATCTAAGGAGACTGCCCAGGGGCTGCCGCTGATCTCTGCCTGCTGGTACTAGAATTGCATGTCTGTCTTTATTTGTCAAAAAGAGATGAGGCTAGCTGAGCTAAAATACCTTTCTAATGGCAGAGAAGATCATCCAGCTAAGTTAGTAAACTGTCTTACAGTCTTTGCAAGTGAGGACATGGATAGAATCTGGATAAAAAGACTCTGGGAACTAATGCTAGGAAAACAGAATTCACCCTTCTCCAGCCACAGAGGAGCCTTCTCTCTCTTTGCCCTCTCTCCCCAAAAAATCCCATTGTTTTAAATGGCCAAAGCAGGCCTAAGACTTTTCTGTGTTAAGCTGAAATCAGACTAGAAACTCATCGGCAAGTGCAGGGACCCTGTTACCCAGGTCTTAAGAGAACCACAGAACATGCAGTTATGTATTAGTTACAGAAGAAATACTTACTTCTAGAATAGCAACCTGAGTCTTTTCTAGCTCATTGACCTTTTGGTCATGTTGTAGTTTCAAACCTTGAAGTTCATTATTTTCAAGCTCCAGCATTTCCAGAACATGTTTCATTTCTAGCAAGTGGAAAGAAATAAAAGGTTATTCCAGGCACATCAAGTCCGTTCTGTTTGAACAAAAAAAGGCATCAGGGAAAAATTAAGAGACATTATACTGACGTCATCCCTCTAAAATCTCTTCAGTGTTTCCTATGGCTGTGTCAGACACACCAGGTGGTGTATCTGATGTTGTTCGACCAGCAAGGTGCAGACCCCTCGGTCACCTGCTCTTCCTGCTCCTCAGGGAGTTTGTTTGGGACAGAGTATGGGACTGAGAAACACCACAATATTTTAAAGGAGTGAGGCACAGAACACTGCAGAGCATACGGCTAAGAGCTCCGAGTACACTGCTTCCCAGGCTGCCCAAGATTCTCTCTGGTGAGCCAGGGACGTACCTATCTTATGCCTGGCAATTTGCCCAAGTATTCCTTGAAGATTTTCTTCCTCTTTTCCAATATCCTTCTTTATGAAGGAAAGCTGTGCTCTTTTCTCATTAATCTGGACATCCAGGTCTTTCCTCTCAACATTAAGCTCTTCCAGAAGTAGTTCTATTTCCTGTGGAAATACAGCAGTGTTGCAAGGAATGCATTATTTGTCATTTAAGTAAAGTTTTCCTTTAAATAAAATTTCTAAGTATTTATAAAATTTAAAAAGTGTGTCAATAATATTCTGGTCAATTTAATTTTGGAGTTTACAGTTACAGTTATTGGTGTGAGCAAGCAACAAGCACGTAACATTTAGGTTAAAGACTTGCTTGTTGGCAGTTGAGAGCAGTACTCTTGCAAAGATTTTGACCTACAGGTCTGACCACACATCGTCACGCAAGCGACTAACAGGTGGGCCTTAAACCAGAAAGTCAGACAAGAAGCCCCCACAGAAAAACCTCACAAAATCTAATTAACCTTGGCAATTTGTTTTTATTCCAGAAAGGACGTGCTGAATCCTGTCTAAGTAAATCGGGATGAAGACAGCTGACTTGTGCCAGCTTTGTGGCGTTTCGCACGCACTGATCAGAGCGATTTGCTGTAGCAGCTGCTTGTCTCGGCAAGAGTCACTCATTCAGAGACTTGTATTTTACAGAATTCAGTTCTCCAGGGACCAGCTCTGTAAGTACTACTGGAACTAGGGAGTTCTACGTCTTATTTGTGCACCTGGACCAAACTCTTAGTCACACCAAACTCTCAACTTGCTTGTTCTGTTTTTCACTGGGTTTTGGGAGGTCAGAGAAAAGAAAACTGATTTTGTGGAAACTTGATGGGATGGTTTTTTTGATATTTCTGTTCTTCTAGTGTTCTCCAGGAATAACTGAAAACTCATTTGGAAAAGTTACTCTTATTTGGCGTAGTTTTTCATTTGCTTCAGTCTCTCCATCTCGAAGAGCTTCTTTGAGGACACTTTTCTTTTGAGAAATACAGTCCTGAAGGACACGGAGCTCTTCCTTTCTTTGATGTGACTGTTGCTCCAGACAAGAGAGCTCTTGGTGCTGAGCAGTAATCTACAGTGTAGACATTGAACAGAAGAAGATTTTTATTTTTGTAGCTCCACACA